AAAAAGAACTCTGAGGATGACCTGCCCCCACTCAAATACAACCCTTGAAGACTTAGAATCCTCTCACACCTACTCTTGTGTGTGTAGGTCAGTGTGTATATGTAAGATTCCCTACTTTGCTTGTGCTCAAATGGAAAACACTAAGGGAAATGCAATGTTATTATCTCCACATTCAATATACAACATACAGTACTTTGTAAAGAATGAGACAAAGAGAAGAGATTTCATTTGAATATAATAACGCAACATAAAATAATGCCTTACTGTTTATAATAAAGCTTTAGCAAAGCATTTTGAAACTCTGGAAATAAACCCTATGTAAAATTCTGTTGTGACTTTTGTTGAATAAGGGGCCATATTCAAACATTTAACAACTAATTCAGTATTAATTAATATATAAGTCAATTTACAAATCAAAAATTGGGAATACATTATTTTCTTAAGTTAATGCATATATTATCTATAATATATTATAAAATTTCATACCAGGTAGTATAAATCATAATAAACCATTCATCCTACTATTCCAATAATTTCTGAACAATGTATTAATTTCTATAAATTATTGGTGTGTTCTTTCTTTTGACATAGATGACTCCAGCTAAATAATGTCCTGTCACAGAGATGATTTAATATAGGGAACTGCCACAATCTCTTTTAAAGACTTCTCCATTAGATTTACAGTCATTGGGTCACATTAGATATTGGTAAATTGATAATTTTTATCAACATCAATGATATTACCATTCTTCAGAATTAACAGTGACTGCATTCAAATTTTTTCCAGTTCTTGAATACTATTTACATTTTTAATATTCAAGATATTTATTATTAACTGAATCACAGACATTCTTGTAGGAATGTACAATTTAATTAATTTATAGATCTTTGCAAATGTCATCTGGCCAAATTCATGGCACCATAAATCAAGAAACTTAAAAATTTATTATATATTTGAGTTTTGTCATATAAATTTCATTTTTAGATAATTTATTAGAAAATCTATGTTTCTCATGTAATGGATCCCTTATCAATTTTTGTTTCAAATAGCTTATATATACATTTTTATATCTAAAATATTTTTCATCAGTATTAAAATTATCTCTAGTTCAGTAAGGGTAACTTCTATTCCCTATTTCTATTAGAATATTATTTCTAAAAACCAGTTCTCTCTCTCTTTTTAAAAAGCTTATTTTCCAAATGCTAACCATAAAACTGATTTGCAGTGCTATGACTTTATCTGAATTATGCCAGAGGTAAATTATTTTCTGAAATGATCAATTATTTCAATTATATGACATATTAAAAATTCTAATTTTCTCTTCTATTTTTCTTGTATTGACTTTTTATTGATATACTTGATAAAGTATTTTTGAATTTTTATATTATTTTAAAAGTTTTGCTTTACTTGAAAATTTTTAACATTATAAAAGCTTATTTCATAACATTGTTATAAAGTTCTTTAATATTTTCCCCTTGATGATTACAAATGAATTTTAATAGAAATTGAATGCCATTAAGATGAAAAATAAGTCTAGTAATTTTAATTTTAAATAATACAAATTTAGATCATTATTTGAATCTAACATCAATATAGCAAGTAAAAATTACCCATTAATTTTTATTGAAGATCATGTTAAATTTCATTCTAAAAATACATATTATTTCTTTTAGATTTAATTGATTTTTTGATATCGATTTGATATTTTTATTGACATTTTATACATCAAAACCAGTTCCAGATTAACTGATTTTTTTACATTCTATCATTAGATGATCCAGGTCCAGGTTCATTTTTGATAAAATTTGTTTTTTCTCAGAGTCAAAAAATTCACACTCATGAATCTGAAAGAAATGCTTTGAAAATTTAGTTAAATTTTTGTGTCTTTTCCAGTGTTTTTAATAATTTGTTATAAATTCTTAAATAATATTTATCAAAAACTATGCAGTGATAACAATTAATATATATTAACGAGTAAACTAAAGTACCAAATGATTTGAAAATTCTAACTACTACATAAACCAAACAATGATAAAACTGATGAGTCTGCTAAGACATTGAATGTTCATAAAGTCTATGCAGAGCATAACATGAGCCCAAAAATGCTAATCTGAAAAACATTTCTCAAGTGTTTTACAATAGGAATTCCATTCATCATATATCCTACAAGACATATCCTTATTAACTTGAAATAAGTTAATATTATAATTTTTACATTAATTTTATCACTTATTACACATTATATATTTATCAACAGGTGTGACTGTACTTCAATATTTTAATAATTGGTAGGCCTTATTGATGCATACTGACTAAATACAATCTTGGAGGTAGGTATGTGGAACATTGATAGGTGAGAGTGAGGAGTAATAGCCTAAGTTTTCAGTAGAAAGGGCTTTTATTTATGAGACATTCTAAAATTGTCTATGATTTGATCACTGGGAAGATGGCTTAAACACTCTTCACATGTTTCCATGCTTAGCAGTACCTCTTCAGGGACCTTGTGTCATAACAATAGAGAGAATGGTATTATCTATGTGAGGGAATCGGGGAACTGTGAAAAGCACTTTCCACCCTGCCCCACATCACTTACCTCTTATAAAGGCCCACTTCTCTATGGAATGGTAGGAGACTCAAGGTTTTCGTTCATTAGAGTTTTAATAAATCATGTCTTCAACTTATGTTCTTGTTATCAACAACCATGTGTGACTGTTTAAAAATCTAGGAAAATTGATTTTTAATTGCAATTTTAATATAAAAATATCTGGCATTTTCTGCCTCTAACAATGAATTTACTTATTAGAATCAGAAAATTTGCAATTCATTCTAAATCAGTACTTCTTAACCAGGTTCATACCTCATAATTACCTGTTCATACCTCATAATTAGACTTTTAAATATATACATATATACACATGCGCAATTCCCTAGAACAGATCTACTTAATCATAATCTTCGGATGGAGGAATGGAAAAAAATTTGATACTTTTAGCATTTCAAAGTTTACAGGTACTTCCGATTTCCATACATGATGAAAAATTACTGTTTTTGAGAAACATTTTTTAAAAAAGTAATATGTCTTTAAAGTTCATGAGACAAAAGGAAATTTGAATAACAATCTTGCATGCCACAAAACAATATAGTTTTTGTTTTTACTATAATTATGTATTGCTTGCTAACAAAGTGTCCACTGGCTATCAAGTTATGGTATGCCCTTCAATCCATCAGATCTTTTTGTTTTCTTATGGTCTAGCTCAAAAAGGTAAGCAGTATGACAATGAAAATACTATTTGTACATTTTATTAAACTCATCTGTTCCTTTTGCTGTAAATACTTAGAACTCTGTATCTTGAACACTCATACTGTTAAGAGAAATAAAATAGAGAGGTGGGAAGTTGCTAGAGAAGATTTATCTTGATGCTCTACTCCAGTGATTCTCATACTTTAGTGTACATTGGAATTACCTGGAGAGCTTGTTAAACCACAGATTGCTGCCCCACTTCAGTGTTTGTTTTAAATTAGCAGGTCTGGGCTGGGGCCTAGATGTTGCATATTCAAAAGTTCCCAGGTGACGCTGATACTGCTGATTCAGGGACCTGAGTTTGAGAACCATGGCTTACTCTCTAGTTGCCTTCCTGGATAGACAGCTTTTAGCTGCCAGAAAAATGCTTTATTAGATCATCTAAGGAGGAATTTTGATTTTTTAAAATTATGCAGTTATTTAATTGATATGTTTGTGTGAATTAATTTGAATTTAGACTATGAGAACTTTATTGCTAGGACTGAGTAGAAAATTAACACTTTTTGCCACCTACCACAGCCCCCAGATAAGTACACTTTCTCCCAAGCTGCAGACTGTCTTCTTCAACCGAATAAATCAACAATTACTCAGGACTTTAAGTAATACTTTTGGGGGAAAAAAAGAAACAAAATCAAAACAATAACTCTGAACATGAATGGAAATTCATTAATTTAACTCAATGCTCTGAAGAAAAGCATTGCAAAATTCAATCTAACAATAAAAACTAACTCAAATTAGTGTCAAATATATTATACTTTCTATGGAGTGGAGATGCTTTAAGATTATTGTCACAGCCACAAATGCACTAGGGAGTATAATTAACATGTGCCCAAGGTTCAGTTTCATTGGTACATAATTTCACATGGGAAGAACAGATACCAAACACTTGTTTTCTCAGATTTTAATATGCAGACTTTAATGAATAAATTTGTTCATTAGAAGTCTGAAAATTATAGACATACATTGCTTAATGTTCAATATTTTTAATAAATTTCTTTAAACTGTTTTCCCCAATGAAAAATTATATTGCCATTGAAAATATTACTTGATTTGTGGAAAATGGGAAGGGATTCTTTAACAGAGTTAGATTTATTTTATTAGAATTTCTTTTTTTCTAAAATGTCACTGATTTCACAGGTCAATCCCCTTGAGATATATCCTGTAACAGTTTACAGTTTACTTGTAGTCTTTACGTTCTGAGCCTATGTATTTCTTAAATATCTGGTAAAAACCCATTTAGGTGGCACTATTACTTAAACAGATATTCTTTCAAGTAAGAATCCTGTAGCTCTCCCTTATTTCCAAGTAGACACCAGTTGGCATAGACATTGTCAAACAAACAGCTTTTGTGGCTGTTCCCCTAAAAAACTTTTAACACAGCTGATTTTAAAGTCCCCTTAATTATGCAGGCACTTTACAACTTCCAGTTTACAGTTTCCCCCAAACTACCAACCATTTTCCCTTAATAGGAGACTTGAATAATTTTATTTTTTTTTCAAACATAATTAGAGTTCCGCCTCCAAGAGCAATGTGATAACACATTGCCCTATGAGTAGGGGCAGAGCAGCTTACTCTGCAATCATCCTGGACCATCATGCTTCAGTACACAGGAAAATGAACATCAGCCACATATTACTGGAAAAAAATGAGGCAGGCCCAATGCTTAACTCTCTCTTCTCTCCTTTTGCTTCCATCTAGCCCAGGAACAGCAGCATTTGCTACACACCAACCAGGCTGAGAGTCACGCAGCTGTTGGCGGAGCAATAGCAGAGCAACTGCAGCAGCAAGACTGTTGTGACCCAGGTTCGTAATTGCTATCATCTCTAACCTAACTATTGTCAACACTTTAGGACAACATCCAAACAAGAAATCACTTGGCTGTCAAATGTTTGATGATGACACATTAACATACCTGGTGCTTATGTTGGGAGAAACTGGTTGCGCTGCAGGTTCCCGGCCGGAAAGGGACCATGCGTAATTATTGAAGCTCTGTGTGCAAACACAGAAGGGAAACAAAAATGCTGTCATACAGGGTTGTAAGGAAATCGCAGGTCCCCAAAATAAATTCAAACTTTTCTCCTCCTAAGACCGCATTCGTGGAAGAATCTTGATATGGAAGGAACGACTTGATCATTTATTTTAAGGGAGCTAAAAAGGCTCCCTTTCATTGGTTGATGAGATCACCAACAGGTGTTGATCGCTAAGGAAAATAATTGTGACTAAGAATCAACAAGAATCTCTTGATCACATAGTTTTTCATCTTTCTAATCATAGTACTTTATCATTTCCTTTAGGCTTAACTTTATCATTTAGAAATATATTCGGTTACTGATAAAAACATCTCTTCATTGTGTTTGGCATAGGTCTAGTCGTACAATATCAGGCACTCAAATTGAGAAATGTGAATTAAGGGGATCTCTTTAAGACTGCAGGTAAATATATCTTAGAAACTGTAGTCTGAATTTTTTAAGGGATTGAAATTCAAGATCTTCATAAAATACCATAAAATCCTCCTTGAATTATTGAAGCACATGCATAAAGGCATGGAAAGCATTATTGCTGTATAAAGTGATTTAAACTAAATTCTGAATCTCTTTATCTCTCATTAAAGAATGTCTCAGTAAAGAATAAAATCCTCAGCATACAGAAAAACCTACATACATGTAAGTGTACAGCTGCACACATTTAATGCTGAAGTGTTGGATTTGAAAGCAGAAGATTGGGCATTAGCCCTGTAACCTCAAACAAATTATTTTGGTTTTCTGACCCTCAATTTCTTCATCTGTTCAGAGTGTAACAACTTTTTAAGGTTAAAAGAAAAATGGAAAATTCTGGACATCGGTAAAACATTTTAGAAATCTAAGATATTATAATGCTTTTTATAAATTTCTACTCCAAAATAGTGTAAAATTTAGGTTGCCATTTGCTAAATGCACATACTTTGAAATATATAGTGCAAACATGGTTTATTTAAATTACCTTTAAACTTACCATGAAATTTGAGAGGTTTTAAATACGTATTTTTAAATGTTTCTAATTTTCTCTTCTTCTATGTACAGCAGTGACACAAAAAATGACTGACCAGATGAGTCAACAGGCAATGAAACTGACCCTTCTGCAGAAGAAAATTGACAATATTTCTTTGGCTGTAGCTGATGTAAAGGACACGTACTCCTCCCTAGAAGAGAAAATCAATGAAGATAAAGGCAGGGAATTTCAATCTTTTCTAAAAGGTAAAATTAAAACAAAATAAATTATTTAATTAAGACAAAAGGCAAATAACTCATTTATCTTTTCTCATATTACTTTGGTATCTTTGCTTTAGATTCAGTGGCATATAAGTATAAGACAAATGACTTAATAAAATATTTTTAAATCACTCAATCTCTGATATAACTTGAAACATCTGAATATTTTTTCACTACATATCAAATCTTTGAATATATCATCTGATTTATGGACATTATGTATGTATCTAGTTAAATAGCCTAACTCATACTTTGTTATAGTTAAAATGAGCCATACGTAATTTACTTCTATTGCTGTTTCCAGTTCAGGATAAAAATAAGGTTAAGAGATGATTAACAGAGTAGCTAGATAAGTGGTTGTCTCAATAATATTGATGAAGATATTGAGGATAAATCTAAAATGCATTACTATCCCAGAAATTATTTAGCTCCTAGAGTATAATAAATAAAAAATATTCCAAAACATCTCAGGCTATAGATATAATAATTATTTTATATATATGGATCAGCTTCTCCTGAATTTTGTGCTCTTAAAATAGCAGGCAGTGTTCCTTTCTGAAGTTTCTACATTATAACCTATTCCCTGTTCTAATCCAAGTTGTAAGAATTTATTTTCTGGCAGGTGTAGGAATGAAGTCTTGTTTTCTTGGTGGCTTTAAGCTGAGGCTTGTTCCCACTTTTTAGAGGCCACTGCATTTCTTGGCTCATGGCTTTCTTCTCCCATCTTTAAAAGCCAACAACAGCTGTTGAGTCCTCATGTCATCTCTCAGACCCACTCTTCTGCTTTCTTCTTCCTCTTCTAAGGACTCATGATAACACTGGGCTCCCCTGGATAATCCAGGATAATCTCCTCATCTCAAGATTCTTAACCTTAATCACATCTGCCAAGGCCCTTTTGCCATGTAAAGTAACATATGCACAGATTCAGAGAATAAGGGTGTGGACATCTTTGGCAGGACAGCATTATTCTGCTTCCCACAGAGGAGCATATATAGTAATTGCTATGGTAGAGTTATATGCAGGGTACAATGGGACTGTTTGATAGAAGAAGGCTTCTTTAAAAAGAAAGCATCTCAACTGACAAGTGATGGATTAGAAGTTGTTAATTAGCCAAAGGTGTTTCAGGTAGGGGTATGGATCTTTTAAGAAAATAGTTTAGTTACTAGGAGTGGCTCAATTCATTGGGTTTATTGTATGTTTCCAAGTTTCAGATTTACTGGTCCCTTTTATTTTGTTTTATAAATTAAAAAATACTTACTATACAACCCCATTTCTATCACTCACAAGTTTTGTTTTGTTTTTCTATTTTTTACCTGTGGTTCATAGGTAAAAGAGATAAAAAGGTGGAGGTTCCATTTCCATATCATCTACCCACACAGCAGCAATCACGATTATATTTTAACCATTCAGATAATTGGTACTATTAAGCCACTGAAAGAAAGCCCCTGTCCTATGGCAGCATAAGAGAAGAATATATTTTCCTGTATATTTTCATGATAGCATGAGAAAGATGTCAAATAGAAACAGTATATAATTGACTATAACCACCATAATGAAATTGTTCAGCAAAATTTTGTTATCATAATCTGAGAGAATTAGGCCAGTCAACTGCTTTTTTGTAAGCCTACTAACAAAAATTCTGATACTGACATAGTAAAAATATATACAATCATAACAACAGCAACAACAAAAACAAACAACAAAATTCCCACCTCATTAGGAGGCATTGATTATGTACTGAGCAAAATCAATTATGAGAAACAGAGGGCCTACAATTAATGAATGTTTGTACAGGCAACAAAAACTAATCTCACTTCCCCAGGTACTGTGTTTGACTAGCAAAACCACAATCTCTTCTCTTGCTTACTTTATATCTGAGGTGAGAAACACTACTTTATCAATGAGTAGCCATAAAAAGTGTTCAAAATCCAATGTCTGAACTCCTTAAGATGTATCTGGATGTCATGAATAGGCCATACATTCAGAGCCACAGAAGGGACATGTCAAGGTATCTGATATCAAATATATCTGTTAAATTACCAGAATCAATATCATCTTTTTTAGAAAGTAGAAGCACATGAGTCACATGAAACAGAATCAAATAGAGTTAAACAATGTGCTCACGCAGGTATTGACATAAAGCATTCTATTCTTATCATTCTATTTCAAACTTTTAGATCATGTAGTTTTTCACTTGCTAAAATTAAGCATCTATTGTCATTGTCCACAATTAAGTCAATTACACTTAAGTTTTATTTTATCTTTTCAATCTTGAAAACATTTTAAAGCCAAAATTATAAGGTTATAACTTCCAAATATATCTGATTCTTTACCTTGAATATTTTATTGTATTTCCTTAAGTTGTTGTCATAGAATTAAAGACAATATTAACTAACAGGAAATGAATAAATGATCCTGTAGAAAGTGTAAAGAAATAGCTTTGCTATACTCAGGGAAGTTAACATTTTATTTTAATATCAGAAATCTAATTTTCCAAATTTCACTTTGTATTGTATATAGAATGTACTCAATTAAGCTTTGTTGTATGAATGGGTGACTGGTTAAATGCTAAGTAAAATTTAGAAAATAAAAACACTTTAAAATCTTTCTGATGTGATTATTCATATTATTAAATACAAAAGCTGGGACTGTTTCAGTATAATTTATCTTAATCATGGCTATTTAATCCTTGATAATTAGTTTAGCCTTTCCTTAGTACTTTGGCTCTTTGTGTCACTGATTACTATTCCATACTTCACCATGTTTTTGTTTTTTTTTTTACATACAAATTAATTTTCACTTATGTTTTTTGGCCTTTTAAATTTATTTTTATTTCATTAAGTTTAGAAATTTAAGATAAAGTTTTTACTCTGGAAATATTTATCCATGTAAACATTTACAGCTTTGTCTTAGTACCAGATTAAATGATATCAGGAAGATCAAGTAATACATCATCTTATTTGGTATAATTGCTCTTTTCACAATACTTTTTCTGTAGTCTCTCAGGCATCTTAAATACTTTTAGAAACTTGCTTACAAAACAGATAACACTTAGAGACTATTTTTTGTCTTATAATTATCTTTCCTGAATATATTTTGCAGTAGCCATACTCATCTCACATCACTCCATTGTACAAACCTTGCCTTTTAAAATGCTTCGTATTATTTTACTGGTACATTACGTTACAGTCATTGGTTACACTTTGGGTTTAAATGGGCAGCTTCCTTTTATATGTGCTTCATATGTGCTGTAAATATACATCAAGTATGTTTTATTTTTTTCTCATTTTCTGTTTTGTATATAACAAGTTTTTTGTTTTGTTTTTACATTTTTAAATACATATTTTTTTTCTATTCTAAATAGTTTTGAATGGTTCAGGACCATTTTGCTTTTTTTTTTTTTAAGCTGTCTACAATTCTGGCTTATGATCAGCCCATGCTTTCTGAAATACTTGAGATACTAGTATGTGCTTCATTACTGACAAGTTTCCCCTCCTCTTTTTTGTTAAAAATTAATGTCATTATGATAATCGAGATATATCTTATATTCCTGTTTTCATTTGACTTACTTTTGGGATCCCCAAAACTCTCATTATTATTTTACTGTTTTTATAAACTATTGTTGAATCTTGTGGCTATTACTTTATATTGTTCCTCATTTGTGAATCTCATTAAATTTCTGCAGTCAATTTATTAGTTTTTGTAAGCAAGAAACACAAACTTTGAAGCCAAATTATTAGAAACCTAATAACACAATCACAAAATAACACACGAGGTATTATTTACTAGGACAGAAAGCCCAAAGCCATTTATTTTCATATAAGACTAAGATGAGCCCTAAAATCATTGAGTAAAAGGTCGATTAACTGAAGTCAGTAGTAGTTCCTTCATGTCTTTTGTCTAGAGAAGCTTAGCTTCATGGTTCTACCATGTTCTATACTACAATTGATTTCTCCTCTCAGACTTATCAGTTAGGAATGTTATCATCTTCTATAAATTATGTTAATCTTTAAAAATTTATAAGTGAAGGAGTATATATAGTCAAGGAGTATTTTTATTATTACATGTTATTAGTGTTTGACCTCAAACTTTTTATCTTTTTAAATATATCTGAAGTTTACATAATTAAAGTCACATGTAATTTATTGAAAAAAAATCTAAAATCCAAAAGCATTAATGATCTGATAAAGGACATAGTGAGGCAACAATTAAAAAATTTCCAAAACGACATGCAAGAGACCATAGCACAGCTCTTCAAGACTATATCAAGACTATCAGAAGACCTTGAAAACACCAAACAAAAAATTCGACAAGTTAATGAATCCATAGTTTCAACAGCAGTCCAAGAAAAGTCTATTTTAATTAAAAAAAATAGGCCTACTTCGACTGATATACTAGATCTAAAAAATCGCATTGTGGATATAAGGCAAGAAATAACTTTGACATGTAAGAAGCCTATTAAAGAACTAGAAGCAAAGCAGACACATTTAGAAGGTGCTCTAGAACGGGAACACTCAAGAAACATTCTGTATTATGAATCCCTCAATAAGACTCTTTCTAAAATGGAGGAAGTACATGAACAGCTTTTATCAATAGAACAAGTATCAGATCAGAAGAGCGTTCCAGCTGCAGAATCAGCTAGCGATAATGTCACTGAGTACCTGTCTAGTCTACATGAGAATGTAAAGAAGCAGGGTTTGATGCTGCTGCAAATATTTGATGATTTGCACATCCAAGACAGCAAAATTAACAATCTCACCATCACTTTGGAAATGGAGAAAGAATCTGTCAGGGGTGAATGTGAAGATATGTTGTCCAAGTACAGAAATGACTTTAAATTTCAAATTAAGGACACAAAAGAGAATTTACAAGTTTTAAACCAAACAATGGCTGAGGTTCTCTTTCCCATGGACAATAAGATGGATAAAATGAATGAGCAACTAAATGATTTGACTTTCAATATGGAGATCCTTCAGCCCTTGCTTGAGCAGGGAGCATCATTTAGAGAGACAATGACAGATGAACAATCAAAAGAAGCAGTAGTTACAAGGAGAAAAGTGGAAAATCTGATCAGGGCAGTCAATAATCTAAATATTCTTATCAAAGAACTTACAAAAAGATACAATTTACTTAGAAATGAAGCACAGAGTCAAAGTGATGCCTTAGAAAGACGTATCAATGAATATGCCTTAGAAACAGAAGATGGCCTAAATAAGACAATGACTATTATAAATAATGCCATTGATTTCATTCAAGATAACTATGTGTTAAAAGAGACTTTAAGTACAATAAAGTATAATTCCAAGGTTCATCACATATGTACCCAAAATATGGAAACCATTTTGACATTTATTTCTCAATTCCAGCGTTTGAATGATTCTATTCAGATTTTGGTCAATGATAATCAGAAATATAACTTTGTTTTGCAAGTTGCCAAGGCCCTTGCAGATATTCCTAAAGATGAAAAACTAAGTCAGTTCAACTTTCAAAAGATTTATCAAATGGTCAATGAAACCACTTCCCAAGTGATAAAATCCCAGGAAAATATAAGTCATTTGGAGGAAAAAATACTCTCGGCCACAATGAGTTCCAAAGATTTTGAAACTCGGTTGCAAGATGTTGAGTCTAAAGTGACCAAGACTCTCATACCTTATTATATTTTACTAAAAGAAGGCAATATGCTCACAAATGAGAGAGACCAGGCTCGTCAACTGCAGACATTAAATTCTAGATTTAAGGCACTGGAAACAAAATCCATCTATCTTTCAATTAACTTCTCTTTACTTAACAAAACTGTCTATGAAACTTTAACCAAGTGTCATAATGCTTCTACAAGTATATCGAAACTGAATGCTACCATACCTAAGTGGATAAATGGTTCCCTTCCAGATACTCAGCTTCTTCAGAAAGGTCTGACAGAATTTGCAGAATCATTAATTAAAATAAAAATTCAAATTGCCTTATCTAATTTAACTTTATATATAAATCAATCATTGTCTAGCATTCTTGCCAACGTCAAACCTCAGAAGCAAGTAAAATCATTACTGAAGAAACCTAATATGCTTAAGAAACCAACAGTGAATTTTACGACTGTCCTCATAGGCCGGACCCAAAGAAACACAGACAACGTTCTATTTCCTGGTAAGCTATCATCAAAAATTACTTTTGACCTCTCTTTCTATTTAAATGGTATTTAGTAGATCTATATGGTTTAACAAGACCCTAAGATATAAAAAGTACTTACTTGAACTTGGGTAAATAGTTAAATAATTCAGAAATCATTGTAGCATTATTTGAATTGGATTCCATCCTGTGTAAATTAGGCATAAATACAAAACAAGTGCTTACAATGTATATATTTGTCTACATGTTTCTTAAGTTTATCTCTGAAAAGATCCCTATAAAACAATCAAATTTTGCCCCTGCAGAACCCTTTTCTTTGCATACAAAAATTAAAGAAAGTTGTTAAACAACAAGCTCCTTGGTGAATAAGACCAGACTGTGTCTTATTCATTCTGGCATTAAATGGCGAAATGTTGGTGTGCCATAGGAACTCAGTAAACATCTGTTGAATGACTGTCTGAATGAGTGCATAAGTGAGGAAGAATTTGATTTGGGTAGATCACAGAAGGCCATGAATGCCAAGCTAAGTGTCTTAGTTCATTTGGGCTGCTATAACAAAATGCCACAGACTGGGTAATTTATCAACAGCAGAAATTTATTTCTCACAGTTTTGGAATCTGAGAAGTCCAAGGCCAAGGTCACATAGTCTATTCTGGTGAAGGCCCTCTTTCTGGTTCACAGCTGGTGATTTATCACTGTATCCTCCCATGGAGGAAGGAAGTTGAGGAGCTCTGTGGGTCTCTTTTAAAAGAACACTAATCTCGTTTATGAGGACTTCGCTCTTATGACCTAAACACCTCCCAAATATCCCACCTCCTAATATCAACTTTGGGAGTTAGAATTTCAGCATCTAAATTTGGGGGTGGGGGAGGGCATATTCAGATGATAGCCCTAAGGCATTTAGACATGATTATGTAAAGAGTAATGTTTGAAAATTTGGACCAGGGTTTTAGGTATGGTCAGAAGCACAAATCTAGCTAGTAGTAGTGTGTATCCTGACTGCAAAGAATGAAGTTAGAGATAACAAGTTATGACATTATTGGCAAGAGCAATAAGAGCCAGATCTAGGGAAGGAGTAATTGAAACAGAAGAGACAGATGCGAGAAATGTTATGAAAGTAAATCAACAGAAACAGAAGGATAGTGGGAAAAATAATTTGAGGATCAACCAATCATGATTCTTGTCTTAGTTGTTTCAGTGAGTTTCTGTGGAGCCTTTAGTAAGATCATCTCTCTGGGTCACAGTTTACTTTTTTTTTTAAGTGATGGGAGTGTAATAGATACTTTACTGAGCTAATTAGTACGTTGCGGATTGCATCATCGTAAAAAAAAAATGTACACTGTTCACAGGCTGAATGCACAGCACCTGGAGAAGGAGAGAATTAGAATATTCTGAGGTTTTGAATTTGGGAAATAAAAGAGTAGCAGTACCATTAACAGACAGAAACATGGCAGAAGGGGTATAAATTAGGGAAGAAAGAGAAATTCAGTGCAATGAATATAAACTACTTAATAGTCTCTCTGCATGAAAGCAGTGTTTTATGAATTTGTTTGGCATTTGAGTAATATTAAATTATCTTTCCTTGGTGATAGAATAGCTACTGATTCCTACTAAAGAAATGGAAGTGTTCCTCTCACATAAATCGGCTGCTAAATTATAATCCCATTTGGGTGAATTTTGTATTTTATTGCTTTTTAATTACAAAAAGGTGATCATTATCCTAACAATATAACTCCTCATATTTAATCTCTGAATGTTTTGATAATAATAATAAAAGTCATAAAGTAGTGGAATCACAGAACAAGCTATTTAGACATATATGTTTTCAAGAGAAAGGCAATATCTCAATAAAAGATGTTCTTATAATAATAATTTTAGAAAAAAATAATAATTGTTCTTTTTCCATACTGTTTTAATCCTTTATCTCCTGGGGATACTGCAGATGAGTTTCTGTTGAGCTCTGTAGGATGTGTGATTATACAGCAGGCAAACCGTATCTTTTTTTTTACTTAAACTAAAAAAATACCTGAATCTATACAGTACATATAAATCATTGAATATTAATTCAAAATTAATTGATTTAAAAGATTTACTAGAACATAAGAACTTGTAAACTTTTATAGAATGAACTATACATGTAAGGAGCTTACAAAAATTGCATTTGTATTTTTATATAGCAGTTAACTCAATATTGGGCTTACTGAGCTAATAATTAACTCATTTCTGATTCTTTGTTCCAAATATGCCTTGATAAAATTGCTTGTTATTCTTTTATTTACTGTAAGTAGAATTTTTACAGGCCTAAAATTAATAATTAAAAGCTTTTTATTTTATTTCAGTGAAGATAACCAATAACTTTGTAAGGGCAATAAAAATATATTGATCTACTTTCATGTGTGGGGTACATATTCACTTTATGTAGGACTAGCAATATAATTTTAAGCAGGTGCACAGAAATGCATGCTCATTAAGCCAGGCCTGCTTTTATGGGCCACAAAACTGATGACATTCATTGGACAACTGGGCAGGTAAAGTCTATGCATGGTGATGAAACCAGCAGATTCAAGCTAAGTTCTCCCATAAGGATAAACCACTTGCAAAATAAACTACTTCCTTTGATGCTTTGTTTTATACATGCTAACATACTGGCTAAATTTGACTGTGTTTCTTTTCATCTTTGCTAGTCTATTAAAAATACCAGATAACCACATTGCTTCCCTACATAACTAACACCATAAAATAATTTATCATTTTACTAATCTCACAATATTATTCAGATTATAGCTGCTATTATTTGCAGAATAAGTTTAGTTTTTAGAAATAAAACATGGTGAAATTTAATCTTAATTTTAATTACTGATTTACTTTGAAGCTTAATAAAAGATATACTATAATAAGATAATATTGGGTACTATTTATTGACACTATAGATCAGGCACTGTACAAATTATACTATATACATTATTTTATTTAACAATGCCTATGAAGTAGCTATGATTATTCTTATTTTGAAGATGAGCAAACTAACCCTCAAAGAGGTGAAGTAATATATCCTACCCAAGATCCCGTAGCTAGTAAGTGATAGAGCCTGGCCCCTTGTTTGTTATACATGGCTCAGTCCTCAACCACTACACCCAAAAAGATCGTAGAGTTGTTCACCTGCCTTTCCCTTCCTTCTGCTTCTGTTTGATGCATCATATCTGTTCCAGAGTCTTGCTATATCTGAATATTCCTTACAGCCAGAGTTGATATTCCCAGGGAGTTCCCTTTCTTGAGAATCCAAATACTGCCCTTAGTTTCTGCACTGACCAGGAGGAAGTAAAAGTGCAACTTCTCAGTCTGGCTTTACTGTGATATGGCCAGTGGGCAGTTGTCACTGAAAGTCACCATCAATTATTCACAAGATCTTCTTTTGACAGGTGCAGTAGAAGGGCAATGTTCAGAGTGCTCATCCCCATCACTTCCTTTGGAGCCATTCTGACATTCGGTTTTGCTAATTATGATTTCTCCTAGGCCAGTGCTGATAAGCTGTTCCAATTGATTCGCTAAATATTTGATTTGTTTCTAAACAGTATTCCAATAGACACCAAAAGGGTTTTATTTCATCTTTAGAGATTTGTTTGTATAGCAATTGACAGACTTGTCCCTGTTGAGAGAATTTGGCTGCTTGCCTTCTCAGAGGAGTGGAATCCTGCTATGAGATCAGATCAGCAGCAACTTTATTGATGATGCAAGCTTCCTGCTTGTGAGACCATTGACTTTTTAACTATTTCCCCAATATTTACCAAATGTTTTTAGCATTCCTTAATAAACTTTTTTTTCTTCATAATTACCCCTTTGACTACTCCTCTTAAGAAAGATTACATTCTGTAAAAGATTTGGTAGTGTACCAAATACAACTTTTTAAATTATCATTACTGTGAATATAAGCAGTTTAAAAGAAGAAAATAAGAACCTAGTACCTAGTGGCTATTTAACTGTTTTACATGACCTTAAAACATTAGAGGCATTTGGGATGACTAAAGAGTGCTCAATTTGGAATCAGGAAACCAAGGTTCAAGTCCTGCCTGGTAACGTATTTATTTGTAATAAGTTATTTTTCTAGACCTTACTTTCCTCATTTATAAAATAAGAATAACATATCCACCTTACAAGTTTATTTTGAGGATTAAGGAAATAACTTAATACAGTATATTAAGTTTGTTATGACTATATGATATAATTTTTAACTATTTTCAATGTTTATATTTTATTTTCTTTAATGTCTTCAGTTAATATTTGATATATAATTATTTTCACATGGCAATATAATTTACAGACTCATGGTATTCCATTGTTCCCTATCTTTACTTTTAGAAGTTACTGTTTTAAACTTAACATATGTTTATAAATGAGCTTATGCTCATCATATAAAGATAAATCAAAAAGAATAAGATACAAAATGTAAAAACTTAACTATATAAAAATGCATCTGCATTGACAGGCACTGAAAAATATCTGCAAATAGCTTTAATAGTTTTTTTCCAAGGCATTTTCTACCCTTTATATGCTTTTCCATATTATAAAAAAAATAACATTTTCAAATATACTTCAAGACAACTAATAAATTTACTTCTATACAATATGATTGAATATAAGCGAATTGAATTTTAAAGGATATCTGAATTTATAATTATAATGTGTTTTATAAGGTCTCCAAAACCACACACAATTTTGACAATCTGTTAGACGCACTCATGAGACTCAGCATATAGTCATACACACAGCTAAGGTTTATTATAGTACAAAGATACATGATAGGATCAGCAAGGGAAACAGACACAGGCAATCTGGAGACATCTATTCACAGGCTTTCTTATGCTCTTTC